GAGAAAGCAGCGGAAGATGACCCAAGTGCTTGGGCCACTGGCACCCACGTGGAAGACCCATATGGAGTTCCAGGCTCCTGGCTTTGAACTGGCCCAGCCTTGGCCATTGCAACCATTGGGGAGCAAACCAGCAGGCGGAAGATCTTTCTCTCTCTTTCGGTGTCTCCCTTTCTCTGTAACTCTGCCTTTCTAATAAATAAAATGAGAGAGAGAGAGAAAGAGAGAGAGTGCATAAACATGTTCTTGGGCAAGTCCAAGTGGCCTGTGGGCAGCCAGCCACAAACGATGGGAAGGAGTCCAGACCAGCAGGTGGAGCACTTCAGCAGAAGAGAATGGTGGCAGTGGCAGGGATGGATTCCCAGCCTGGCCATCTGGGTTTGTGTCTGCTTTGTGCAGCAAACCATATCTTGGTTGAGAGTGTCTAGACAGGCCCTATCTCCTGTTCCAGAACCACTGGGTTATTTGGTCAATTATCAAGACAAAAACTTGGGCCCCTTGGAGGAAAGATCAGAGCCTGAGTTTCTGGAAATGAGGAGTTAGGTTGGCAGTAGCTGTAGTGAGGGAGACCTGAGCAGCTTCAGAATGCCAGACCAGTAGACAAAGCAAGCTGATTTCCACCCGCACATTAGATTGTCAGCCATGGAAGGAGGGTTTTGCACTGCAAATGTGAGAATTGAGGAGGAGAGCTGTGTAGTGTTCTTCCCAGTAACCTGGCTGTTGTCTTCCACGTGTTCATGCCACTTGAGTTGTATTTCTGACATACAGTGTTAAAGAAGTCACATGGGGTCACATTTGGATGAGAATGTGCAAACATAGGGAGTTCAAAAAGAGAAAAGAAATTTTGGTGAAACCATGAAGAAAGATAAAGACAGATTGGCTCTCAAGAAAGTTGGATGTTACCTAAATGCAGAGTGGCTGGGTTTCAACCACGCGCACATTATACAATCTCAACACTAAGCACAGGCAGAGGGGAAGGGCAGTTGGGACTGAGAGTTTCGACATCCAGGCTATGTGAGTCAGTGTGGAAGCTCAGTTGCTGCAGCAGCACCCAGTAGATCGGAGGTGTTGGAGCACCATGGAAGCCTGCCAAGTCTACTCAGAGACACAGAGGACAAATCAGGCTGAAAATCAAGAGATGACTGGAGTTTTGGATTAGGAATGGTTTATCATTTTTTTCTTTTCCCTTTCTCTTTCTTTTTCATTTGTGGGGTGTGGGGTACGGGGGAGGCAAGAAACAGCACACATTCTTGTCTGCTGGTGCAACCCTGGGCTGGGGTGGAAGCCAGAGCAATGAACTCAACCCAGGTCTTCCACATAAGTGGCAGAAACACAAGTACTTGAGCCATCACAGCTGCCTTCCCTGGTCCACAGTGGCAGGAAGGTGGACCCGGGGACGGGAGCTGGGAATTGAATTCAGACATGCTGATACGGAAGGCAGGAAACTTAACAAGTGTCCACTGCTAGGTCAGGTGCCTGCCTCAACACAACTTTTTTAGAGACTTCAGAAACTAAAAGAGAAATATCTGACTGACTTTTTTTTTTGACAGGCAGAGTGGACAGTGAGAGAGAGAGAGACAGAGAGAAAGGTCTTCCTTTGCCGTTGGTTCACCCTCCAATGGCCACTGCGGCTGGCGCACCGCACTGATCCAAAGGCAGAAGCCAGGTGCTTCTCCTGGTCTCCCATGGGGTGCAGGGGCCAAGCACTTGGGCCATCCTCCACTTCACTCCCGGGCCACAGCAGAGAGCTGGCCTGGAAGAGGGGCAACCGGGACAGAATCCGGCGCCCTGACTGGGACTAGAACCCTGTGTGCCGGCGCCGCAGGTGGAGCATTAGCCTATTGAGCCATGGCGCCGGCCCTCTAACTGACTTTCAAGGGGAATGTGCAATCCCCACCAAGAATAAAAACAACAGGGAAAGACTAAAATCCTTCAGTGCTTTTAGTGTGTTGAGACCTGTGCCTCAGGTTTAACTTCACACAGGACTGAAATCTACTCACTTTTCAACTTATTTCATCTTGGGGGGATTGGGTCAGAAATTGTGGCTCTGTCCACCCGTTTCTCCTGGAACCAAAGTAACCCCCAGTTGTGGGAAATGTTTGGTGGAAGTATCAGCAACCAAAGAAAATGAAATATCTCTGTCACATTACTAACTAACTTGCATATCTTTTATGACAAAAACAATACTTGGAGCACAGGCGTTACTGGAAATTCATGGAATGAACCCTCTTTTTTTGGGTCAGTGTTTACTACAATCTTGATTGTTTCAGAAAGAAAACTTTATGAAAGGAAATCAAGAGTGTTTCTCCAACTCTGTGAGGACTGCAATAACAGGAAACAAAACTCCTATTTCTGTAGTTTGCCAGATAAGAACTGAATAGGAGATTTTTTTTTAAGGCATGTGGCGAATACTGTTAAAGACATATAAATTACTGTCTGTTGCATGCTCTTGGCTGAATAACTTACACGGTGGCTTCTATTTCTGGTGGAGTAGACTCGCAGACATCTGTCATTCCTCTAGAAAATGGGAACAAGTGACAAGTTGGCAGAGGAGAAATTCTTGCTAACAATGCAGTCATTTCTGGCTTGATTGCTCGGTGGACATGCTCTGCCCCAAGAACATTCTAGACTGTGAATTTGAGGCAGGGCAAAGCCCAGTGTTCTCAGCCATGGCCAGCAATTGCCGGTGGCCTCTTGAGAGGACTGCAGCTCGGATGTTCCCCAACAGCAGAAGCGACAAGGGGAAAGATGTGCGAGAGCGTGAAGGCCTGGGGGACATGGCTCTGTGTTTCCCAGTTCCTGTTTTCTGTCCGGGGGAAACACGGATGGAAGCAAAGACCTTGGTGAATAATGGTGGGTCATTCCAGTCTTGAACACTGTTCTTGGTGACCTCTCATGACGAAGGTCAGGTGCTTAGAGGGTGATGCACATCCAGGTGCTGTTAACAGTTTTGAGACTTGCGTGCCACCTCCAGCCTTCCCCTCAACTAGACCTTCCATGGGACCCAGCACACAGCACCCTTAAATGGGATCTGCCTTCTAATATGTAAGGAAGTAACTACACCGTTTAGCCCAGGGCATATTTGCTTATTATGAATTCAAGCACAATATCTACTTGGCCTATAACAATGTACTTCCCCAAACTTTTCACAAGTCTTGTTGTAACAGCAGGCATAATTGGGTTGGTAGATGTGTTTCATCTTAAAGTGTATTCTCTTTAGCAGCTGTGAAAAGACAGGAAAATGAGGTCAAAATGCCAGCAGGTCACTGAAGACACAAATTTCTCAAAACACACCTTCTAAGCAAATGCTGATATTGTGGGATTCTTTAGGTTCTAATGTAGTTTCTTTTGTGGTCACGGTTTTCAACTTGGTAATCATGACAGCTGATGATTGGCTTCCTTGTTTGCTAAGACATCATTGATGTCACCCTTTGTTGACAAGGCTCAGAGAAAAGAATTTTTAATATGTGGCTATGTCAACAACTGTGAAACGTTCCTGAGACCATCCAAGTCACATAGGGTGAGATTAGTAGTTTTGTTGAATTTCTTATTGCTATAGCCATTAAGGAACTGTAAAGACATAAAACAGTGCACCATAATCCAACCTCCAAACCCAGACCCAGTCACAGCTAACATTTTGCTATGTGTTTTTTACCTTTTAACCTATTCTAACTCACATTCATACAAAATTTCACATTTTGTTTTTATTCCATTTAACTTTATACCCTAAGTAGTTTCCAATATATTAAAATTCTGTATAAAGATAAGTTTTATAAAGGACATACACTGAGCTTGCATCGTGGTGCAGTGGATTAAACTGCTGTCTGTGATGCCGACATCCCATATCTGAGCACCAGTTCAAGTCCCGGCTGTTCCACTTCTGATCCAGCTCCCTGCTAATGCTCCTGGGAAAGCAATGGAAGATGGCCCAAGTGCTTGGAGCCCTGTCACCCACATGGGGGACCTGTATGGAGTTTCAGGTTCCTAGCTTTGGCCTTGCCCAGCTCTGGCTATTGTGGTCTTTTGGAGAATCAGCCAGCAAATGGAAGACTACTCTCTCTCTCTCTCTCTCTCTCTGACTCTGTCTTTCAAATAAATAAAATAAATATTTTTTAAAAAATAAAGGTCATGCAATTTCATAGTGCATTGATGTATTATGATTGACATATCAAGGTTGTTTTCAATGCTTATCATTAATGACTTTGTCTAAAACAGTCTTGTTTTACTCATTGAGATTTTTAGGAGTGAAACTACCAGGTCCAAAGTGTGTGTGTGTGTGTGTGTGTGTGCATCTATATAAAGATTTCTTTATTTATTTGAAGGGCAGTGTTACAGAGAAGGAGGGCAGAGGCAGAGAGAGATCTTCCATATGCTGTTTCACATCCCAAATGGATGCAATGGCCAGGGCTGGGCAAGGCCAAAGCTAGGAGCCAGGATCTTCTTCTGAGTCTCCCTTGTGGGTGCAGGGGCCCAAGTACCTGTGTCATCCTTCATTGCTTTCCCAGGCACACAAGCAGGGAGCTGAATGGGAAGTGGAGCAGCTGGGTCTCAAACCAGTGCCCATATGGGATGCCAGCGCTACAGTCGGTGGGTCAACCGCTAGCCCCCAAAAGTATATTTTTAAATAGTCCTTGATATGTGTTACCAAGTTACCAAAAAGAAAGATTGTACAAATTTATACCCCAACAGAAGTTAGGGAGTTATGGAACAGAATGCACTTAGTTTACATTAAGTTGGTCCTGTTCCTAGGAGAACTTATATTTACAGTAAACAGAGCATCTGTTTTTAAGGACAAATAATTGAAATGTTTTGTTTAAGATAAAATGAAAAAGCAAAATATCTTTAAATGACCAGTAAATGCTGGAAATTTAAATATACATTTAAAATTTGTAGCTGGGGCAATGTAGCAAGCAATTTTTTAAAAATTCTATTTCTTTATTGATAAAAATAATCTCTATCTCTTTTTTAAAGATTTATTTATTTATTTATTTGAAAGGCAGAGTTACAGAGAGAGAGAGAAAGGTCTTCCATCTGCTGGTTCACTCCCCAAATGGCTGCACGGCTGGAAGCTGAGCAGATCTGAAGCCAGAAGCCAGGAGGTTCTTCCAGGTCTCCCATGTGGGTGCAGGGGCCCAAGCACTTGGGCCATCTTCCACTGATTTCCCAGGCTGTTAGCAGAGAGCTGGATTGGAAGCAGAGCAGCTGTGACATGAACTTGCACCCATATTGAATGCCAGCACTGCAGGCGGGGCTTAGCCTACTACACCACAGGACCAGCCCCAAAATCATCTCTCTTATTTGCAGCTTGTTTAACAGTTTGCCAAATACTCTCATAAATTACCTCTAATTATTAATCACCTAGAATCTTAGCAAATTCTTCTGAAATAACTCTAGGCCTACCAGACACCTCCAAATGTAATCTTGATATCCAAGGGAGGGAAAGAGAGAAACCTGGTAGAACACACTAGGACCTTTGCACTCACTGACCCTCTAGCCTGGAGGGTTTTGCCCCAGGTGATGTCCCCTCTAGGTCTTTGCTCAAATGGCCCCATGACATCTAGGTCTCCTTATACAGTGCCTATGCAGAATTGCACCTGCCAATGTCTCCTTCCCCCCACAGAGGCCCTCCTTGTTCCTTTCCCCTACTTCATTTTTCTGCCTAGCACTCATCATCATGCCTTTTGTTTTCCTCAGTGACTTTGGCTTCTCACACAAGAGCATGAGCTCTCTGAGAAAGGGGACTGTTGTCTGCTTTACTCACTGCCAAAACATCATTACCCAAAATACTGCCTGGTAGGCAGTAAGGCCTTCCTATGTCTTTGTTGAAGGGAAGCTTGACTGAATGGATGTGGAGCTTGGAATTGTCCAACAACATCTCTGGACAAGCTGAAGGGAAGATGGCTTTCTGGAGGCGACCTCTGACCTTGATGCCTGCCTCCTAACACCTTCTGTTGAGAGCAACAACAGCCCAGGGCTAGTGCAGAAACGAAGGGCTGGAGAATGGGCATTTACAGACGTGTGCGGCAGACTCGGCAGGGTCCGGGGTTGCCACGTTCCTGCCACCTGGCTGGACAGTGGGCCAACCTCCATAAGTCTCAGTGGGCTCATCTGTGAGATGAACATCAGGATCCCTACGATGATTCCATGAGATGACACAGACACACGGCACACAGGAAGTGCTCCATAAACGTTAGTCCACATTATGCAAGAGACACCAGACTAAGTACTTAATGTACCTTATGATGGGTAATGATGACAGCAATGTTATGAGGCACGGAAACTCTTAGTATACATTCTGTAAGTCTCCAAATAAATCTCGGTAATACTATGTAATCCATACCTCCATCGGAGACTCATGCTATGTGTTAACGTATCAAGAATGTCTGCAAGGGCTGGGGCTGTGGCACAGTAGGTTACCCCGCCATCTGCAGCGCCAGCATGTCCTATGGGCCCCGGTTCTAGTCCCGGCTGCTCCTCTTCCGATCCAGCTCTCTGCTATGGCCTGGGAAAGCAGAAGACAGCCCAAGTGCTCAGGCCTCTGCACCTGCATGGGAGACCCAGAAGAAGCTCCTGGCTCCTGGCTTCAGATTGGCCCAGCTCCAGCCATTGCGATCATTTGGGGAGTGAACCAGCGGATGGAAGACCTTTCTCTCTGTCTCTCCCTCTCACTATCTGCAACGCTACCTCTCAAATAAATAAATAAAATCTTAAAAAAAAGAATGCCTGCAAGGAAGAATCCTGTTTCATTTCAACTTGCCCTACTCAAGCACCCCTCAAAGGATGAGTTTCTTTGACTGAGTGACATGTATTGTCATTGTGTGGAGATGGTGTTTTCAGTGGATTCTCTTAGAGACGTGCAGAATGCAGTTTTCTCCATTTCATAGAGAAGGCTGAGGCTCCAAGACAGTCAGTGATTTCCACAAGGTCCCACAGAGAACGGACAGAAGAGCAGACATCCTTACCTTCGTGCACCTGATTCGGAAGAGTGCTCTCACTAGACTGCACATAGCCCCCGAGAGTCTAATGCGGCCATGCCCGTTGCATGTAATAATGGCATGACACAGCTGCACTTCTAGAACCGTTGAAAATTCAAATTCAGTTGGAAAATAGATTTAAGCCCCAGGGACTCTATTTTGTGAACCTAAAAGAAGCAACTTCCATGGACTCTCAAGCCTGGCCATGGTTTGGTCTTCAGGATGACTTTCTTCTTTCTGAGGTTTATGATGTAGATAGGAAAATAAAAATTAAAGCCAATATCTAAAATGAAAATATAGTGTGTTTAACTTACAAATACTGAAAAAGAGAGACTCAAATTAAAATCAGTTAAGTAGAACCATACCTAGAAGAACATGAAATAGAAAGCTATTTTCTGCTTGTCAAAGAGAAAACCTGGAGATTTCAGAACATCAAGTGAGAAAAGAAAAATTTAACTTAAAAAAAGTGTGTGTGTGTGTGTGTGTGTTTAAATATTTACTTCATTATTTGAAAGCAGAGTTACAGTGTCCTGGGGCGGGGGAGAGGTGGTGTCCAGACACAGAAAGAATGATCTTCCACTCCTTGGTCCGTTCCCATAATGGCTGCAGCAGCTGGCTAGGGCTGGGCCAGGTCACAGATGGCTGCTTAACCCGTTGCACCACAACGCCAGTCCCTGTAAGTGTTTTTGTTACCCAGGGATTATCTTCATGGACAGAAGTCCTGGCTGAGCAAGTAAGTTTGCGTGCAAATAGATGTGGCTTCTCTTTTGGAGATAAGCTATTTGGTTTCTGAATGAGCCCCAGATTCAAATTATGTAACTATTTAGTACATTGTTTTGAATTTGCAGCCATGGGATTTAGAGAGAAACAGAGAAAACTCAGGATTTGGGTGTTTTTGGAATTTATATTTGACTAGAAGCAAAACAGAGAGAAAACGAAAGGCAAGGAGGGAATCCATGCTTTAAGTTGATAAGATCTTTATTCCCAATCCCCAGTAAGGATTCCCAAGGAAGGATGGGCAAAACTGACAAGACATGCAGATGAGACGAGACGCCAGAGAGACACCCTGATTGCAAATTGCACTGGGTGCCAAGACAGATGATCTCCACTTGGATGAGTTGCAAACAGTTTATCTGCTTTTCATCTAGCATTTGGTGTGAGCTCAATACAACTGGAAAGAGGGACAGTGCATCCAGCCTCGTTTGTGTGCAGCATTACATCACTTCTGTGCCTCCGAGTGCACCTCACTAAGTTTTCTGAAACAGGCATTGGTAGCAGTGCTGGTTGTTTTCTTTGGTCTGAGCCGTGATAAGCATGGCCAGTACCTGTCCTGGTCCCAGACTGACCCGCATAGATTTCTCATGAGACATGCCATGTTTACCTGATGCTTGTTTGTGGTTGTTAAGACAGCAGACGTGTCGGATCCAAGCAGGCCTTCCTGGGCTTGTTTCGTGCAGTGACACAGTGGCTAAATAATTCCAAGTTATTATCAGGGGCGACAGATTACTAGAAAGAACATGCAATTTTGTCCTATATTCCTTGTTCGCTGAGCCCTGTAAATGACAGAGAGAATGAGACCTAAGTGCTTAGGGAGTGATTTATTGCCGTCTATGATAGCAAATTTTCCCGGACCTCCAAACACCCAGAATACCAATGGCAGAAAAATCTCGCTGTTCTTTTGGTGCTTGCGAGGTATAATAGCAAGCACATTCTTAACATATACCTGTTTTTAAAATAATTAAGGATTTTGATTTTGCTAAAAATGTATTTGAGGCAGACCTTGCAGCGTTATCCTTAGAGATGCGGGTTCCAAGCATCAGTGTTTAGTGAAGTCTATGTACATTTTGGACAAGGAAGAACTATTTATTGCGAAATCTCAGTGTCTCCAAGCAACCATGTGCTATAAAACATCTTAGAAAAGCTTTTTGGCAAAGACGAAGGAGTATTTTCCATACATGTGAATATGCGTGTGGCGATCATGGACCTGTGAACGCAGTTCAACTTCTGCCACTTCTTGTACCTGATGTCACCTTGGGATTCGGCTGCATGCAATGGCTTGTTCGACACAACATCCTAGGAGAGTCAGTTTTTGTTGCTTCTTGTTTTTGACGTGTGAAGCAATTATGCAGGCTATCGACTGAAAAAGCATTGCAAATGTTTATCTTGAAGTAGATATCTAAGTCTCTCTCTCTCTCTTTTTTTTTTTTTTTTTTTTTTTCAGGTAGTTAACCTTCTGGGGAAAGTGTCCTTCAGGCTAAACATCTTCTGCTGTTTCGCTTGCACTCTTTGGACAAATGGAAACGCCTGTTCGAGAATATCTATCAAATCCCTTCAAGGTAGAGCTGGGTGTGAGGAGAGATGCCATAAGGCATGAGGCCTGTGATTGTTGTTAGTGCATTTATTTGATGCTTACAGGTAGCCTTTCTGGAACATTCACTGGCTGACAAAGGAATCCAGTTGGAAGGTATTATCTCTCCACTATGAGGAGTCATGAGATTAGAAATGAGAGCATTTCTCTTGGTGCTCTGTTGCTGTTAGGGGAAAAAAATAGCAGATCTCACTTCTGTCTGTCAGAGCCTTGTAGAATTCGATATATCTGGAAATCTGTTTTTTCTGTCTGACCACCATGAACATTTTGAAACATGTCATTTGCCCGGAGATCATCCTTTATTTGAAACTGTGTCTTGGCAACGTTCTATGTGTTATACTAACCAGAAAAACAATTGCTCTGTTAAGTATAATTCAAGTTTTCTGCCTCAGCAAGTCTTCCAGGGAGTTTTCCAAATAACTGTGTCATTGAAGGCAGAAATCCTTGCTAAGCTCAGACCCTCCCTCTTGAGGAGGATATATTTTAACACTCGGTTCATGTAACTCTTCATGTTTTGAGTCTCAGCAAATTCTGATTGTGATTTGTCTCTCCAAGTAGGTCTGACTACAGGGGGAAAAAATTCACTGATGATGCCAGCGTGAGTATAACCTGTTTTATGACAGTCCTATTTCTCACTGAAGTATAAGACTTTGGCTAGAAATGAATATTATTCTGCATTGGTTAGTGTCTGCTTTCTCTCTTTGCGTGAACAAAACTCTGTTTTCAGACTTCCCGGAGTCAGAAGCCCGAGTGTAGTCCCTGGGAGGTATTTTCTCCAAGGTCTTCTTGGGCCACGGAGGGCCATTTCCCAGACATCCTTATGTAAATTCCTATAATGCTCTTCGCGGTTTTGTTCTAGAGAAGCTTAGAAGCTGTGTGGTTGGAAGTGAGTGCTGGGGAAATCGAGGTGATAACAGTGCCCAGGAAGCATTTGCTTGCTGAGCGAGAGCCCCAGGTCAGACCCGGATAGGCTCTAAATCCTCCAGTGGAGGTACACAGCATTGCCTGCATACCAGCGCAAGGGAAGGAAAGCTTCCACAAAAGGAAATGTTTACCCAATGATAGCCAAATTTTGGAGGATGAGGAAAATAACAGTCCCCTATCTATATTAACTTGGATTTGCCGCTACCCTTTATCATTAATCACTGCTCCAAACAAAGTTAATGGGAAAGTTATGGCTCAATTACTGCAGCCTGGGGAAGCTTATCAATGGAGCTGCCACTTCCTAGCTACTTGTGGAATTCATCTGTGTTGAATAAGTTCATACAGGGATGTCACAAATGTTATGAATTCTGTCCTGTTAGGACAATGAAATAGTGGACAGAATTCGCACAAAGGTGTGGGGGGTGGGGAGAAAAGCTTCCAAGATTCAGCTTCTTCCCTCCATTCTGTGATGAATTTCTCAAGACTTCCATGAACATTTACACCTACAGTAAGAAACACAAATGCAATTTAATTCTATTTTAAACCCAAGTGGTTTATTACACAGTTTTAAAAATGCAAGTTGTGATTATGTAAGAACACCTCTTTTTCAGAAAAAAAATGAAATGTCATATAGGATTGGAAATATAGTGAAAAGTTGCTTCCTGGGAGACAAATCTGCCCTAATGGCTTATAATCTAACCAAGACATTCCGATTTAATCACCAGCTGCACAGTCATTGTATTGTTACCCAACAGTGAGTGATGGCTGTCTGAACCTGTGATGCTCGCAACCAAGGAAGAAGGCCCTGTGGAAAACGCTGAGTTAAAAATGACTTTACAGTTCAGAACCCTGGTTATAGAACCATTTTTTCCACATTTGGGTACATCCACTAAATTTCCTATACTACTCTGTATTTCAATTAAGTTATGTTTCGGAGAATGAAGATTAACACCAAATGGAGAGAGAAATGGCATTACTTAAAGGAATATCTAAGAATCCTGCTACTGATCTCTGCTAAGCTCTGTGCTATTTACGTTAAGATTTATGATATTGAGAGCCTAGATAGATTGAGTCATTTTGCATGTTACCATCAGGGTGGAGTGGAAGGATTGGTCAGAGGACACCTCACAAAAGAATGTCACACACCCAATCTTCCTTTAGGGCTTGTGGAAGAATTTTCACCTAAATTTTAAAAGATCGCTAAGTAATTTCTAGATGGAGTTTCTTAAATAGGCTAGGGTACAGCTGTCTGGCAGGGTTACATAACATAAAGGAACTAAGTGATTTGAAGTAGTTAAATTTCACACATTTTTACAAGATATGAAATAGTGACCTAAACAGCACTTTTAGGCAGATAACAAACTCTCTCCTTAACTCCAAGCCTTTATTTCTACACTATTCACACAAAAAATGTGTGTGTCTGTGTGTGTGTGTGTGTGTATGTGAGAGAGAGAGAGAGAGAGAGAGAGAGAGAGACAGAACTAGAATTTACTTTATTAGAATTATAAGTTTCATTAAGAGCTAGCCTCCTGATAACTAAGATACTAAAATATTCTTTGGTATAAGATATATGGCTAACAATTTTGCAAAGATACTAAAAAAGATTATTTTTGCATCTCAGTTTCAAGTCCTATGGGTGAATCTATGGCTGAGTAAAACCTCTTCTAATCATAGATAGTAACCTTGGGTACGGTATTTCAATCCTCTGAGACTTAGCTTCTTCATACATACAAATGAGGTTGGCCATTCCAAGCATCCAGACTTGTGACAAGGATTAAATTGAATAAATGGTATAAATTCTTTGGTGCCCAGATCATAGTGAGGGATCCCTATTAGTCACCTATGATCCATAACCCCAACAGTATTTTAGATTTCTTTGGGACTATGGTAGCCAACTTTACCCATTATTAATGAAAATGATCATCCAAAGATGATATGTACTTTTCTTATGATAGAATAAATTTGTTCCATTATTTAAGGCAGTATATGAAATATGCTTTAATATTATTTTCCAACCATAGAGTACTTAATTAACACTAACTCAAATTCTAATACACCTATTAATTCCACAGGCAGAAATATTTTATAAAAGGATACGCACATGAGGAGTATATCCTTCACCCTTTGTATAACACGTGGGCTCTTTTTCCAAACTTACCTGTGTTTCGCTTTCATATCAATGAATTATGACTTCTCAGGGTTTTAGAAGTTGGCGTCCTGCTGCATATTCATAGTTAAATTTAACTATTCTAATTGTCTTTTTCTTTCTTTTTCCTTGTCTCACACACACTTACATGGATTCTCCATATATAGTTCTTTATCTTTGCTCATACAAGAGGACTTCAAAAAGCTCATGGAATTTAAAAAATTGAATTAAAAACTAAGCTTATTTTGGTGCAAAAAATTTCTGAAATCCATGCATAATTTTTTTCTAATATGCATTTCCATGAACTTTTCAAAGAACTTCTTTCCCCCACTTTTTTCCTAATCCTACCAATGGCTCAAGACCCTGACCAACTACATTTTCCTTAGGTATGTCTTTGGCCTTTGTCTTATTCAGCAAGTGAAGTGACTTCTAGAACCACAGCATCATACTAGAGACAAAAAAGCATACCCATGAAGCCTGCAACAGGTCTTAGGATCAGGAACGCAGAAGAGTAGGTATAATAAAATACTACAGATATTAGATTGAGGGGATTTGGAAGATACAAAGGGGAATCCAATGGTCAGCTCAACCCAGCCAAAGGGGTACAGTCCAGAAAACACTGAATGGGAATGGGACCATGAACTTAACTTTGTATATTCAAGTTATCTTGTTGTATACTCAAGTAGGTGTCCATCAAGAAGAAAGGATATAAGCGACAGTACACAGAACACTGAGAAGGACCTTGTATATGAAAACACAAAGCTTAAAGCATCCACAGCTTCTTAAGAACTGCAGGAAGTTGAGTGGGACGGCCACAAAGGAGTGAGGCAAGAGATCAGTTGGGAAAGGAAGGAGATTACAAATCCTAATGGTTTCCTGTTCACTCTATGGAAGCTTGTTATTGTCCTTAGAGGAGCAGAAGCTGTTGACGATTCTTATAAACAATGAGAGCAAATGACAAAATACACATTTAAAAAAAAGATTTATTTGTTAGAAAGAGTTACAGAGAGAGGAGCGACTAAGAGAGATTTTCATCTGTTGGTTCACTTCCCAAATGACAGCATTGGTTTGAGCTGGGTCAGACCGAAGCCAGGAGCCAGGAGCTTCCTTTGGATCTCCCATGTGGGTACAGGGGCCTCAAACACTTGGGCCATCTTCTGCTGCTTTCCCAAGCACATTAGCTGGGATCTGGATCAGAAGTGGAGAAGTTGGAACTCGAACTGGTGCCCAAATAGGATGCTAGCGCTGTAGATGGTGGCTTAACCTGTTGTGCCACAGCGCCGCCCCCAAGAGAATATACACATATTTGAAAAGGTTCTGGAAGAAGTATGGATGGTAGAGGAAGATGAGATTGGAGGCAAAATCCAGATTGGAGACCTAGATCTCTGGGCTAGAAAACATGGCAAATGTCCTTAAAGTCAGTACCTTTTAGTTTACCTCTCAGTTTTTCCCTTCTAATCACACTCACAGAGCTTTCTCTCCACAGCTATGCTGAGAAGTTTCCCTGCATACTTTCCATTCCTTTTTTTTTTGTATTTTAAACAAAATTTATTTTATTAATATGTTTTAGAAATAACTTGGGGGTGTGATCAATATACAAAGGTACCTTAAAAAGTTTGTGAATCAAAATATTTTTCCCTTTTTTTCCAACTTTTATTTAATAAATATAAATTTCCAAAGTACAACTTTTGGATTATAGCAGCTTTTCCCCCCATAACCTTCCTCCCACCTGCAACCATCCCATCTGCCACTCGCTCTCCCATCCCAATCTTCATCAAGATTCATTTTCAATTATCTTTATATACAGAAGATCAACCTAGTATATACTAAGTAAGATTTAAACAGAATGCACCTACACAGACACACAAAGTATAGACTACTGTCTGAGTAGTAGTTTTACTGTTAATTCGCATAGTACCAGACATTAAGGACAGAGATCCTACATGGGGAGCAGGTGCACAGTGACTCCAATTGTTGATTTAACAACTGACACTCTCATTTATGGCGTCAGTAATCATCCGAGGCTCTTGTCATGAGCTGCCAAGGCTTTGGAAGCCTATTGAGTTCACCAACTCTGATCTTGTTTAGACAAGGCCATAGTCAAAGAGGAAGTTCTCTCCTCCCTTCAGAGAAAGTTATCTCCTTCTTTGATGGCCCATTCTTTCTGCTGGGATCTCACTCACAGAGATCTTCCATTTAGGTGTTTGTTGTTATTGTTGTTGTGTGTGTTTTTTTTGTTTATTTGTTTGTTTGCCACAGTGTCTTGGCTTTCCATGCCTGAGAAACTCTCATGGGCTTTTTAGCCAGATCCGAATGTCTTAAGGGCTGATTCTGAGGCCAGAGTGCTGTTTAGGGCATTTGCCATTCTATGAGTTTGCTGTGTATCCTGCTTCCCATATAGGACCATTCTCTCCTTTTTAATTCTATCAATTATTATTTGCAGACACTGGTCTTATTTATGTAATCCCTTTGACACTTAATACTATCTTTTGATCAATTGTGAACTTAAACTGATCACTTTGACTAGTAAGATGGCATTGGTACATGCCACCTTGATGGGATTGAATTGGAATCCCCTGGCATGTTTCTAGCTCTACCATCAGGGGTAAGTCCAAGTGAGCATGTGCAAACTGTACATCTCCTCCCTCTCTTATTCCCACTCTTATATTTAATAGGGATCAATTTTCAGTTAATTTTAAATGCCTAAGAATAATTGTGTGTTAATTAAAGAGTTCAATTAGTGGTATTAAGTAGAACAAAAAAAATACTAAAAGGAATAAAATAGTAAGTTGTTCCTCGACAGTCAGGACAAGGGCTGATCATGTCACTGTTTCTCATAGTGTCCATTTCACTTCAACAGGTTTCCTTTTAGGTACTCAGTTATTTGTCACTGATCAGGAAGAACATATGATATTTGTCCCTTTGGGACTGGCTTATTTCACTCAGCATGATGTTTTCCAAATTTCTCCATTTTGTTGCATATGACAGGATTTCATTTTTTACTACTGTATAGTATTCTATAGAGTGCATGTCCCATAATTTCTTTATCCAGTCTTCTGTTGATGGGTATTTAGGTTGATTCCAGGTCTTAGCTATTATGACTTGAGCTGCAATAAACATTGAGGTACAGACAGCTCTTTTATTTGCCAATTTAATTTCCTTTGGGTAAATTCCAAAGAGTGGGATGGCTGGTTCATGTGGTAGGGTTATATTCAGGTTTCTGAGGAATCTCCAGACTGACTTCCATAGTGGCTTCACCAGGTTGCATTCCCACCAGCAGCGGGTTAGTGTGCCATTTTCCCCACATCCTCGCCATCATCTTTTGTTGGTAGATTTCTGTATGTGAGCCATTCTAAC